TCTAAAGCGCATGGCGCAGGTGCACTTAGGGCGTGTCCAAATCCACTTTTGCTAGTTTAACGACGGGAAAAACAGTCGGCGCGCCGGGCGCATGGTCCAATAGGGTTGTACCTATTCTCTTAAAGAGTCATGGGTGTGTTTTGGGCGTAACGTGCAATAAACCAATCAGAGTCTCATCTCCCATTCCCTTTAAAGGCCAGTTGCGCTCGCGCCATGGCAGATTCGCTATTTACATGGCAGAATTTGCAAGAGCAAAGACTGAACGCTTCTCCAGAGAGGAAAGATTCTGCTTGTGCGTGAGGTTAAAGCACGCAAGCAGACCATCTACGGGGCACAATAATAATCTTTTACATTGTAATCCTTTCATTTTTAATATTTGGCATGTTTGTGTGCTGCTGCGCGTTCCTGTGTGTGTAAAAAGCAGTGTACACGCGTTGTTCACCCGCCTATAGGCGCATATTACTAACGCGCTCTTTAATTAACAAAAAAATAAATATTGCACCATTGACTTTAGACCAGGTTTCAGTTGGTCAAAGGCGCAGTCTATTTCAGTTGCCTCAAAATAGCAACCCGCAAACAATGCGCCTGAATACACCTCATTTTCAGACCAGCACGCCCATGGGCGCAAATGCATTTGCTATTTAAACAATGTGGCGCAGGACGTGAAAATGATAACTGCGTCGGGCTGAAACTAGCAACAAACACTTGTGTCGCGCCTGGCACCTTGATCACTTTTATTGCTTTAAACATCATGTCAATGTAATAGTTAATAGTTTTATTAGTCCAGCAGACTTTTCTGACCACTCTAGTGTTGTAATTCTTTTTTTTTTTTTTTTTATGTGTAAAGCCTAGTAGTGCCTACTGGCAATTTAATACAGCTCTTTTAGAGGATAAAAAATGTAAAAAAAAAGTTTTGTGACTTTTTGGAAAAATCATCTAATAACAAAAAGTGATTTTATGTCTCTACAGCAGTGGTGGGATTAAAAATTCAAACAAAGCAATTGTGTCAACAATACAATAGGAATGTCACCAAAGCCTTGATGCATTCCATGAAAGCTCTGGAGTCTGAAGTGGAGAAACTCCAAGGCCTAGCTGAAGCCACTAGAGACCAACGCTATTTTGAAGCTCTTGAGATTGAAAAATGCAGAACAGAAAAACTCCTGGATTAGATGGACTACCTCTTGATTTTTTAGAAATCCTTTTGGCCTGTATTTGGAGAAGATCTTTTGGCAGTACTGAATGATAGCTTAGAATAAAGAATGTTATAAAGAATGTTTACCTTTAAGTTGCAGGAGGGTGGTTCTTATATTACTGCCCCAAAAAAGGCTAAAATATTTAGGTGTTTTTTTGGGTGAAGGAACATTTGGACTTAAAAACTGGGATAATGTCCTTGAGAGGGTTAAAAGTCATATAGTCAAACTGAAGTGGATTTCACCAAAAAATGTCTTATAGAGGTTGCGTTCTTCTTATTAATAATTTGATTTCGTCAAACTTTATGGCATCGCCTGACATTGAGTTGCTGTCAAAGGTTCAGGCGCTTTTTGTTGATTTATTTTGGGAAGGATTATACTGGACGTCTCAGAGTGTACTGTATTTGCCGAGGGATGAAGGAGGACAAGGTTTGATCCACCTGAGTAGTAGAAGACCATCTGTTCGATTCCAATTCATACAGGGGCTTCCCTGTGGTGCTGCAGACCTGGTGTGGAGACCGCTAGCATGCATTATTTTGAATCAGTTGGGTGGACTGAGCAGAACTTTGTTCTTAATAGACTTAAAACAATTCAACTCGAATGGACTGCCAGCTGGAATTTGTTAAAACGGGAGAGGATGGGATATCATGATTCATTGTACTGGTTGCTTTCAAGAGCCAGTCGTACACGGGACTTGTTTGAGTATAACCTGTCAAATGGGATTGTTGCCGTCTCTAGCCTCTGTTTTCCATGCTGTAGAATCTTTTTTAATTTATTTGGTGTAGTTTTTTTCTAAAAAGATGTTTATTCTAGGTTATAGGTATTCCCAGAAAAAGAGGGAGCAGTGTCAGCTTTTTAATTTTATTTTGGGAAAAGCAAAGATGGCTGTGTATATGAGTAGACGAAACAGGGTGAAGGGATCTGATGATGATGTGGTATTCATATTTGTTAAAACATTGAAAGCTCATTTAAAAATAGATTTTAATTACTATAGTTTGATGAATGATCTGAAAAAAAATTCCAGTATTTGGTGCTACAAAAATGTACTTTGCTCTGTTGTAGAGGATGAATACATTTTTTATATGTTGATTTAATGGTATTTGATCAATTATGTTTGTGGTAATTGGTTTGTCTTAAAGTATTGTAAAAATCTCTCTCTCTCTCTCTCTCTCTCTCTCATTAAACATGTAATAAATACAACATTTTGGTAACACTTTCATACAATAAGAATTAGTTTGCTATATGCTATGCATGCATACATTAATATTTGTTAATGTATTTGGTATTATGCACTAGCAATTATCTTATTTTACATGTATTAAACTTGGTTTATGTTCATTCGTGAAAATAATGCTTAATAATGTTATATGCATTTGCATATGTATTAGTATTGACTGAAATTAATATTAACCAAGATTAATGGGTGCTGCAAAGTGTTGTTTGTTTTTAGTTTACATTAACTTTGTATTAAGTAATGCTAGCATATGCAGTCTTATTTTAATACATGCAATCAAGTCAGATGTTGTGATTTAAATAGGTTTCAGAAAGGGAATGCACCATGTTGTCATGTAGGTATATCTGTAGGATTGCTAGAGGGCATAAATTAACACACATAAAATGCTGTTATAGGGAAGTGTTATTTGTGTTCTGTACCCGCATTCTGTGAATACTTGTTCAAGTTGTAAGTTGTTGCCTACTGGCAATGTTGTTGTTCCGATTTTATCTTTTCCTCTTGTCTTCCAATTAGCCAACTTGCAAAAGAATATGAGCTATTTTCCCCTGACAGTCCCCCCCCCCCTTTTTTCCCCTTTGGGTAAAAAACAAAACAAAAACAAAACATGTGCACACCTCTCTCCACAAAATAACATTTTAGAATTTATTCTTACAATTTTGTTTATTTATACACATGAATTCAAGAAATAAGGATTAAGGATTAGGATTGCAGCAAAACACAAAGACCAACTAATTTTGAATCTTGGAACCTGTTTCAAAGTTTGTCTTGCACATTTATGCTGAATATGTCTAACCATAATTTGCTTCATTTTTGCATGCCATGGACAGACACATAAAACTTGACTGCTAAACTATGTAACCCCAAAATTATGCCTGTTTAGATTAACACCATATACTTCATATAGTTAAAAATGAAAACAGATGGAAAGAGTCTATCCTTTTGCTAAAAAAGATGTGTGCATCAGCTGGTATTGTACTGAAGCTTAAGCGTCAATGTTAATCTTTGCCTTTGAAGTTTATATTGGCAAGGTAAGAGGAATTAAAAGGATTTATTTAGCATTTAATTTACATATTTTGTTTTAAAGAAGTCTCATGGAGAACATGAAGAACTGATAGAAAACAGATTCTTAACATTCCCTCAAACAAAAAAAGGAAGATCTAGAAATGATATACTTTTGACATTTTTGTTTGAATTTGGATGTTTAATGACTAAAGACCTGTTCAACTTATATTTTTCTTATCTTAAATTATGCATTTGCATTTTTTCTCTCGTCTTTCAACATTACAACTAGATTTTGATCTGTTTCTTATTTTGAGCTCTATTTTGGGCAGAAGCCCCAGATCGATTGAGTGCTCAGATTCGGTCCTGATGGTGAGCATGGTGGCACAGTCTTAATATTTTCCCATGACAGATTAAGTGGGAAATGCATGAAATGAGTGACAGATTTTCTCTCAGGCTTGATCAGCTGGGAGAAAAAGGGTCAGTGGCTCATCAGACTGGGTCACGGCCCATCTCAAGCCAAAGCTGAATGTGTTTTGAAACTCTTCCTCTGCCTCTATGGCCTAATAGTAGAACAGCAGTCTTCCCGGCCTGTAATGCGGTGCTTACAGTGATGTGCTTTAGCAGAACAACTAGACAACCTATTAGCTCTAATGGACTTTTGTAAAGCTTTTTGTCAGATGCCAAATAGCAAAGCCCCTGACAAAGAACAAAGGACCTGATGGCACCCCTGCTGAAATCTATGAACACTTCTGGCAAGCAGTTTCACCACTATTTAGTGCACTGACATCTGGTTTGGAGAACAACTCCAACTGCGGAGCATATTAATGGAGCCCTTGTCTAAGGACTTCTAGAAACAGACAAAATCAAGTTTTGTCTCAAGCCTTTATCTTTAATCTACTCTGATTTCAGCTTCATCTCTAGGCCACTAGCCTTCAGAATTCAATCGGTTTGTTATCTGGCACTATTCTAAATAGATTCATTGTACATACAGTAGATGCCTATATTTTTTGTATGTATTAAATTTCCCCAAATGTAAAACAATAGTAGCTTGATTAGACACTGGGGTTTCAATTTGAAGAATTTGGAAAACCAAAGTTTATTCACTGAATTAAAAAATAATGTACAAATTGATCAGTGTTGTAACAGAGACACTGGAGTTTGGTTAGAATCCATGAGCGGAAGTTTATTAAAGGTCAAGGCTTTAAACAGATGTCGATAATCAGGCAGAGGGTCAAAGTCAAAGAAGCAAGCAGATCGTTCGTCATACACAAGGGCAGAAGCAGAGACAATAGTGGAGAGGCAGGCAATGAGTCCAAACACAAACATCAGTCCTATCAGGCGTCAGAACAAAAGGGGCAGAGTACAAATACCGTGAGTCAAGAAGTCAGGCAGAATCATACACAGGAAATCAATCAGGAACAGAGAAAGAATAACGCTTGGTAAGGCAGGTAAACTGGCAATACTTCGCAATCAGCACATGGACTGGTCTCAGTTTATATGAGTCAAACAGGAAGTGAAAGCAGAGGAAGCAGAGGGAGTGGAGCACGGTCAGTACTCGGGCGAGGGCTCCCTCTGCTGGCTTGGCGTTACAGAACCCCCCCCTCTAGGAGCGACTCCTGGAGCTCGACGTGGACGTCCCCGTGGTCTCGGTGCTGGGCGGTCGGGTCTGGCTCGATGAAACTCCTCGATGAGTGATGGATCCTAACCCACCATCTTTCTTCTCCACAAAGAAGAATCCTGCAGCTGCTGGGGAGGTTGATGGTCAGATAAAACCGGATTTCAAGGCTTCATCCACATACTCTTCCATGGCTTGACTTTCGTTTCTGGACAGTGGATATACTTTACTCTTGGGGGGTTGTGTGTTAGGCAGGAGATCGATGGCACAGGCCCCAGGTCTATGTGGAGGAAGTTGTGTGGCCTTTACCTTGCTGAATACATCAGAGAGATCTCGATAACAATGGGGAATCAGGGCGGCTCCGGAGTCAGTCATCGCTGTGAGGTCAAGAGAGAGAGTATCAGTTCTTAAGACAGCAGGGAGTGTGAATGACTTGTTGCTTAAAAGGGCAAAATGTTCAATATTTACCCAGGGATTCTTTTGAAGCTTGTGGGGCATCCTAAACTGCGGTGGCCTGATTCACCGCAGTAAAAACACAGTTGTTGATGTGGTCTCTGTTCTCTTTCACTCTCAGATAGTCGGGGCGCGTTTATTTGCATGGGTTCCTCAGGGGAAGACATTAATCCGAGTCCCAAACGGCTGCAGCCCAGTCGACAGCTCTGCCCGTCAACAGTGTCATGATGAAAGCGCACTTTTTGCCCTCTGATTCGAATCTCTCTCCTTGATGATCCAGATAAACTTGTACTTGGCGAATGAAGCCCTTGCATTGCTCAGCGGTACCGTCAAATTTGTCAGGAAGAGCGAGACTTACAGTCTTAGGAGTGGGTAGAGGGAGAGATTGAATGTAGTGCGTCAGGTGTTCGTTGACGGTCTGCAGCTTGGTGAGTTGTTCCTGATATTTCTGGAGCATTTCAGCTTGGTATGAGAATGCTGCTTGCAGATTCGACACTTCCGCTGGATTCATAGGAGGCGAAGTATTCTGTAACAGAGATGCTGGAGTTTGGTTAGAATCCATGAGCGGAAGTTTATTAAAGGTCAAGGCTTTAAACAGATGTCAATAATCAGGCAGAGGGTGAAAGTCAAAGAAGCAAGCAGATCGTTCGTCATACACAAGGGCAGAAAGCTTGTCTCATGAGGTTATCAATCCTGATGGCGAGTGTGACAAAATCGGAGAAGGAGGACTCCTCACCCTTGCATGCAAGTTCTGCCTGAAGATCGCCGTTGAGACTTTTGTGAAACATAGCTTTTAAAGCGACATCATTCCATCCACTCTGGGCAGCGAGCATTCTGAATTCAATGGCAAACTCCACAGCGGAACGATTACCTTGTGTGGGAAGCAGAGGGAGTGGAGCATGGTCAGTACTCGGGCGAGGGCTCCCTCCTGCTGGCTTGGCGTTACAAGTGTACTAGGAGTTGCATAAGGCTAAGGAATCAGACAATGAAACCAACTCGCAACATCTCCGTTTTCTCCCCATTAAACTCATTAATAACTGCAATCAAACAGAGTGGAAAAATGAAAAACTTTCCTCGTTACTCTGAGCATCAGTTTTAGTCTTGCATGTCTGTGTTTTTCTGTCTGTCTGTGAATCAGCTCATTTATAAATATTTATTGCAATGTGTATTTATAAATTCAACTTTACATTGCTTCATCAAGGTTGTGATTTGCAGGAAGGACTCTTTATTTAGCAGAATAACTGCATTTCTGTAAATGATGTATGAAAAACACCATTACTCATTTGAGTGGCATTACTCATTTCTTCTCATTAATTACTTCAAAGATCAGTTGTGACTAACCAAAGTTGTGAACTATACAGTATGTATACTGTATCTATGCAGTTTTTTGTATGTGTTTCTGCAAACTACATTTATTTCATTGGAAGTGATCATTGTTTTGCAGCTGATTCAGACCCTTATACATCTGTGCTGTGCAAAATCAGTTCCTCCGATCACAAACTCATTACTTCAAACAGAATTTCATGGATTCACAAACCCAGAATCCTGGTTCAAACATCAGACATGGGAATAAAGCACCAAATCAGCCAATATAGCTCTCCTCTTGAGCATCTTAAGAATGCAGCCAGGACACGATGAAGAACAGTCAGAATGAAATGTGAATAGTCAAATGGTTAATGTTCTCTAATCATCGATGGTTGCTCGGCAGATAAACTGCAGATGGAAGCAAGAGAAACAACATCAACCACATATTCATTCTCTCTTCTTCCCAAACAGACTATAGAAAGATGTTCCAGCAGTCGAGGCTAAGAGGTTTCAAAGGCCTTTTGAGGCATAGGTATTGAAATGCTGCTCTCCGTTTCTTCCACTCTTTCAAAGAGTTTTCATTCTTTTATTAGACTAGGGAAGTAATTTTCAGAATCCTCCCTAGATTTAACCCCTCCACTTCAGAGCTCCTTCAGAAAGATTCCCTTAAAACAAAAGTGCACACAGTTTACAAAGCCAATGGATCCCTTCGTACCACAGCTTGCCTGTTGATAGAGAGATATGCAGTAGTGGGCGAGAGAGAGAGAGAAGAAGATTGACCACAGGATTCTTCACAGTACTGTAAAAGTAAAAAAAAAAGATGAAACCAGATGGCTCGGCTTAAGTAAAACACTGTAACGTATTACACTGCCTTTAAAGCTCAGAGGTGTGAAAGAGAACATATTAAGGTAAATGGATTGACTGCTTGGAAGATTAGAGGAATTGTAGTCAAAGCTGATTAGCGAGAAAGGTAGTCAAAGTGGAGGAAGCTGCAGAGAAAAGAGATTTCATATTTAATTTAAAGGAAAGTGATATTTTATTCATCTTCCTTTTGTTTGATGTTTAAGAATGAATCTGCTGTGGTGGTGTTGGACGTTTATAGCTTGCCGGCTGCCGGGAATGAAAATGAATAGGAGTGTCTTGCTGCATTGGGGCATTTGCCGGTCATGCTAATCAGCACTTATTTAAGTCCTTCAAGGTGTTTGATTCATGGTTGGATATATTGCAGCAATCAACAAAAGGGTTTCTAGCTTAAAATGGCATAAGTGCTCATGGGCCAGCAGAATTCTCTCAGAACAGCACAGAATAGTTTGTGTTCCTGTTGAACAGTTCCTGTTGATGTAAATGTATAAGTGTGTATGTGTTTTATATTATACAGGATGTTTTTATCTTGCATTTTTTTTCTGCAAAGATATTTAACAAGTGAATTAGTTTTACATTTACACCGGTCAAATGTTCTGAAAAAATCATGATTTTTTTTGCAATATTGCCCAGCTCTGGCATATGTGTGTGTATATATAGTCCCAAGTACAAACTCAATTCAGTACCAGTGTTATCAAACTGTCAGACGGCTGCTTTTGAATAATTGCTTGGCTGTGCATGTGAGCAAATGCACTTCTCGGTCAAACTGCTTGTCTGGTGAGTTATTAATGTAACAGTGGGTCTGTACATGTAAACAGGTGGGGGAAAATCATTTCTGTCAAAATATCAGCACTCTGCATTGGGTGTTCCAGCGTAAATGCAGCCTAATAGAACTGCTACTGCCTATTGTGTCATAAATATTAAACAAACAACAATATTGACAAAGTAAAAATCATAAACAAACAAATAAATAAAGAGCAGTGAGTGTTGTTTACTTGTTTAATTATGTGAAATAGATTATTTATGTAATTGAGAATACTTGAAGACTGCATACCACTGTTTTCATATAATTTGTTAATATTTAAGTTGTATATTAATATTAGTTGTTATTATAATTATAACACTTTGGGCCCTATTTTAATGATCTAAGCGCATGGTCTAAAGCGCACGGCGCAGGTGAAATCAAGGCGTGTCCTAATCCACTTTTGCTAGTTTAACGACGGGAAAACGGTCGGCGCGCATGGTCCAAATGGGTTGTCCCTATTCTCTTAATGAGTAATGGGTGTTTTTTGGGCGTAACGTGCAATAAACCAATCAGAGTCTCATCTCCCATCCCCTTTAAAAGCCAGTTGCGCTCGCGCCATGGCAGGTTCGCTATTTACATGGCGGAATGTAATTTTTCATTTTAAAAAATGTTTGTGTGCTGCTGCGTGTGTAATAAACAAAGTGTACGCACGTTGTGCACCCACCTATAGGCGCATATTACTAACGCGCTCTTTAAATAACAAAGAAAAAATATTGCGCCAGACTTTAGACCAGGTTTGAGTTGGTCTATGGCGCAGTCTATTTTCAGTTCCTCAAAATAGCAACGCGCCAACAATGCGCCTGAACACACCTCGTTTTCAGACCAGCACGCCCATGGGCGCACAAATGGGCGCAAATGCATTTGCTATTTAAACAACGCGGCGCAGGATGGGAAAATGAGAACTGCGTCGGGCTGAAACTAGCAGAAAACACTTGCGCCGCGCCTTCAACCGCATTGCACTGGGTGTATGATAGGGCCCCTAATTTTGATAATCCACTTTAGACGCTCTAACTACAAGTAACTTTGCAACTATACATGTCAACTATAGTCATTAGCGTATTAGTAGACTGTCTGGTTAATATCTGCTAACATTTTGTTTTGATGGTCCCCCAACACACTTTCTAATAACTATAATTAAAGGGGACATAACACACACAGTTTCACCCAATTGCCAACAAAACAGACATTTGA